ATCATTACTTTACAAAGGTTACAGTTTTGACAAGAATGAACTAAAGTTTCTTTTTAATTGTCAGTTAAACTGTTTGCTCGTTTAGTTTATCTTATTCAATAACATCTTTCTTCACTTCTTTATCTTACCTTTTCTAATCTAGATAAACCAGCAGCCACCTATTCCAGCGCAACCATTAGATTAAAGTCCGGAGAAGACGGGTCTATTGATTGCCCAGTGGATATTGGAAACCCCCCTGCTGTCATCACGTGGTATAAAGGAAATCATACCAATTGCAATAAAATTGCCACCAACTCGACCTTGAAGGTTCAGAATGCTTCTTCAAGTGACGAAGGACGGTATACCTGTTTTGCAAAAAATGCACTGGGAAATACAACTATCAGTTTGTTACTACTGGTTGGTGAGTTGAATAGGTTTTAGTACATGATTGTGCTATTACTGATAACTGAAAATGAGTTTTCGAACGGCGCAGCATACTCAGGTCGGCCTCAGCATTCTAAAGTAAAGATAAGACTTTTTTTCTCACTTCGTGAGCGGGCGGTAATCTACAAATCTTGCAATCTGATTGGTTACGAGAGCAGGCAGTATTCTCCCATCCGGCCCGCTCGCCGCGGGCGGTATCCTATCCGTTGTGTATTTAGTCGCCTAGTACACCCTTAGCTTCGTTGCAAACTTTCAGGAAAATATTTTGTTTTAACTTACTGGCTGGTCAGCATTCGTAAGCAGAGATTTCAACTACGACCTTCAGCCGATAAATAACTCTAATTATTCTTTTCTCAGTTCGTGAGCGGGCGGTATTCTACGAATCCTGAAATCTGATTGGTTCCCAGAGCGAGCAGTATTCTCCCCATCCGGCCCGCTCACGGCGGGCGGTATCCGTTCCGCTTGAGTCAATGCTTATTGCAGAACATCTCAAGCTTCGTTGCAGTTTTTCACAAATATATCTCATTTTGCCTGCTGGGCAGAATTTTTGAGGAAAGACTTCTGTCACGACCTTTTGGCGATATATAACATTAGTTCTTTCTTCTCTCTCGCTCTCAAATCACTTTGGTTTTTCGGCAAAAATTGATTTGGAAATAAATTTTGTAGTACTAAATTTGTTTATAAAAAGACTGAAACGCGGCCTAAATCGATTTGTTATTTAATAATCCTTCAATAAAGTAACTCAGAAAGTTAAAACGAGAGGTAGTTGTAGTTAACCATTACGTTAATAAACGTGACTCTCAATCGTTAATATCTGAATTATTCAACACAATTTGTTCGTTTGTGAAACGTTGAGCGAAGTTTTGAGTTCTTCTATATATCTATGGCGCGTTTTCAGGGTCAAAATTGAAATTCTTGTTGCACTTCATTCTGAATTCCGAATTGACATCACTGCATGACAATTGCATTCACAAAATAACCCTGTTACAGTATTTTAATCAAAAACAAGCCATCTTCTACGTTTTTGAAATAAAAAGTACGCGTTTCGATTTCAAAAAAGTTTTCCCGTATTAAAAAAAAAGTAAACAATTTCAAAAATATTCTCCTTCTGATAGTTGTTACAATATTCGATGTCGTGTATACGTTTGATGGTTTAAAATGTATGTGATTTTGTTCAATATATTTGATAAACTTGTAGCAAAATTCTATAAATTACCTTGATATTCATTCGATAATTCAAGCAATATTCATTCGATGATACATGCAATATTCATTCGATAATTCAAGCAATATTCATTCTATAATGCAACTGACCTATCTTCTGTGTTTGGGATAGAAGGCTTGGCTACTGGTTGTCTAAAATGGCGGAACAAATTGAATGGGAGTCTTTGGCGCTTAGCTTGCTCAATTTACTAGATACATGTGAGATAGATTCTGAAGAACTAACATATCCTATCGCAGCCAATGTATTCAATGGTGTTGAAGTGGCTCTTTCAGTTATTATTTTCACGGCCGATACTGTTAACAATGAATGACTTTTGATTCTTGAGCTTCGCGAATGCTTTTGCGAGATTCACCGATACGTACTGGTGGCAACAACTTACTGAAATGGAAAGAAGGACAACCAGTGCTGTAGACTTGGGCAAGCCGTCATGTAGCTACGGGGCACGTGATAATATCGAATGACTGTAGCTTGAATTATTGAATGAATATAGCGTGTATTGAGATACAATGAATATATGAAGTTCATATATTTTTGAACTGCGGTATTAGATACGTATGATGCACGATCCTCACAGTAGACAGCGCTATTTATGCAATAGCGAAAATCAGACCTGAAAAAAATCAGGCCTGTACGGGATTCGAACCACTGACCTCTGCGATACTAGTGCAGCGCTCTACCAATTGAGCTAACAAGCCAACTGGGAGCAGGCCGTTAAGTTGATTCGTAATAAACCCGTGATGATAAATCAGATACAATGAATATATGAAGTTCATATATTTTGAACTGCGGTATTA